TCAAAACGCATTTAGGCTACTGCCTCCCCTGGCATCAACTGCACATTTTTTTTAAAAACTGTGTTAATTTAGCAGTTACTTGCAATATATCATGTTTGAATTCAGAGTAAAATGGTCAGTATTAAAATGAAAAATTCCCAGCAATAGACTCACATCTGAAGAAATCTATTAGATTAATTGTTCAGCAGTCTGTAACAATGAGAGTCCATAAGAACAGCAGTCCATAATAAACCCACAAATAAGCACAAATAGCTGTTTTCCTAAAAGATAAACCTGAGCAATTATTCCTTGTGGATCTAATTCTGCTGCTGCAAAATGCTTCTGAACTCCTCCATGGCTCTACCCCATTTGTGTCCTCCATTTCCATCTGTTGCAAGTTTATGTAATGTAGAACGTGCCATTGCAAGTTTGCCCACTTTCTGTAAAACATTTTGTAATCCTCTCCCAGATTGATCTAAGCAAAAAAGGCTTTGTTTGAAGGTGGCACAAGCACCTCAATTTCCTGTACTGTCTATGATATTTTGCCTGGGGTATGAAGATTGAGCATTGGTGTCATGGGCTGGGACATACACAGTTTACATCCCCAGAAGCCATCTTTCCATCTTTTCCTCCCTCTGAAAGGAGTTGTGTATCACAAATGGCCTCAGACAAGAATTGTGGGTTTCTCCAGGGCATTTCAGCAAATCATCTTCAACATCCATCTGCACTATTCAGAGAGTGGAATTCTTTGTGATTCAGGTATGTCACTGGATTCCTTGTAGAAGCACAAATACTCCCTGAATTCTTGTAAGGCTGCTTTCTTGTATTGTAGAAATAGTGCTGCTTCTGCAATAATTCCTGGTTCCTGTACAGATGTATCGAGATGCCTTTCTACGTGGGCATCAATTACCTTCCTGCCACAGGGTGACACACAAACTCGCCCACTCCTGCAATGTCCCCCGTAGGTCCTTGGTATTAACTGGCTGCATTGAAATTGAGGGCAGTGGTCACTCTGAAAATGATGCTGGCAGTCCTGCAAAGATGTGTTGACTCACCCTGTTGGTGTCCCTGGAATAGCTGGAAGAACTCCATGCTATCCCTTGAAGCACTCTGCTTTGTTGTGTGTTACAGGTAACGTACTCTACTCCTGCATACCCACAGCCCAAGGTAGTACTTGTTGTCAGTGGGAACCCTCAGAGTCAGATCTCTTGCACACATGTCTGCTTGTCAAAAAGATGTTAGATGCTATACCCTTAAATACCAGTCAATTCCAACTCTATGGAAAACTGTGCCTTCTGTCACCTCCATACTGTTAAATATATTTGCCAGTGTATGTGTCTTCATAAATTAAAATGCAATGTTGATAGATGACCTTCAGTGATGCTTAACAATTATAATAGGACATCTTGAGATTTTTTTTGCAGAACTTGGATTTTTCACTAGAATTTCAAGTGGAAGGACTATCTTGAATGTAAAATCTTATTATAATGCTGACTCCCAATATGCTGCACCCATTGCCATACTTCAGCAAGAATACTGAAATTATCAATCTGAGAATTGTCTCGCCGTTAGTTTCAAAAACACTTGGAGTAAAATTAAAACAATTTAATTTTATTCAGTATTAGTGAGACGAAACCTGCCATGTTGGGTACAAAATGAAGATATGGATGACTCAAATGAACTAATTCTCTGTCACCTCAAAGTTACTCTTCTCTTTGACTTACAATTTGCACATGGACTGCTGTCTGGAAACAGTAACTTTATGTTTTGCTCCTAAGCTGTTGATAGGGTCTGTCTGTGTGATCTTTGTAAGCAGATAAGGGCAGAGAGACAGCTTAGAGCAGAGCTTGTTTACAGCAAGACAGAAGAAAACAGTTAGACATAAATTGGGGCTGACGGTTTCATGAAGCACAATTGGTTGATCACAGATTCAATGTGACTGCCCTGAACTGAGCGATGATCCGTACAGTATGCAAAATTCCCTTTCTTGCTGGTCGGTGCCCACCAGCCTTGCAGCAGCTTTCCCAAAGCCCTCAGCTACAGCTTTGAGTGGAACCAGAACTGAACGTGGCATTGTTGTGCCCAAATTCCTTTTGACAACAATCACATTCTTTTAAAAACTTCATAGATTTTACTTGTCACTGGTTATAAATGAATTTTTGTTACAAAGCAAGCACTTTCCTCTCAGACATACAATATTTTATTTTTAAACAGTAGGAAGATATACCATACTGTGACTGGTCTCATGTGCAAAAATGACCACAAAGCACATTTTTTTAAACCGGGCTCTTACTGTACATTTAAATTGGTGAGCTTTAATGCAAATGTTTCTCTCTTTTCTGGCACAAGTTAAAGACTTAACACTAGCTTAATTTCTAACACATTTGCTTGATGGGTCACTGTGGTTGTATGGATTCCCATGTGGTTGTATATTTTAGTTTCCCCTGTTGTTTTCTTTTGCTTGTAAAATATATCTAATGAAATCAATCCGAGTGTAATAAACAAGTGTAAGTTATTATAGTGCCAGTTAGAACCAGGAACTAGAGGATGCTTGATTGCAAAAAATGAAGCCTCCATTTAAGTGACTGGTGTTTGATTTTTGTGGTCTTTACAAAGTTTTGATGTTTTTTAAGCATATAATAATGAGTAGAATTATTCAATGGACTTCTGTAAAATATAAACAAAAAAAGTACTTAAAATATATTTGTAGATTATGTGTGAAACAGAATATGTTCTGAAATTTCAGTGAAAATGTTTTATATCACTTCCATGTTGCAAAAGACTCATGTTTATTGGTGCTCTGTTAATAGAAACAATATTAAAGGAAGTCATAAGCGCAGGCACCAATTCATTCTCCATGGTTTATACAAGTTTATAGCAACTGGATAAGCATAACAGTATCCCTCATCATGAGAGCAAAAAGATTCCTACATTAATCAGGGAACTGTAAGCAACCCAGATATCAGAAAATATAGTACAGAGAATAATATAACATTACACTGCTATTATAACAACAGGCTATTGTACCATATTAAAGATAACCTGTTGGAGAACTATCAGTTTTGATGCACATTTGATTTAAATGCATATCCTAACAACTGGCACAGGTGCTGGCAATGGAATGAATCTAAAAGGTGATAATTTTCCAGTCTGTTCTTCCGTGAATGAGATAGCAGCCTGAAAAGAACAAAAGACAACCTGAAGTGAAGACGATTGTATGAGGTTATTCACATATAAAAGAGAGATGGGATTTGAAAAGACAAAATTGGCAACTTTCTGACTGCAGTGTTTCTTTTGTGCATTGTTACGGATTGTGTGACTGCTTTCCATTATGCCATAACTTTACAAAGATATTTTAGAAAATAATTACCCTAATGTGATACCTATATCCACATTGAAGGCCCTTTTTCTTGAGACTTTCTGTATTCTCTAGATTTGCAAGCCATTATCTGAATAGTTCTGATTACAGAAACAGATATTTTTAGCACATAATGAGGTTATTCTGCAACCTCCTGTATTTTGTTAAATTGCCTTTATTATTAATCCCACTTGTAGTTATGAATTTCACAACCAAACAACTCACTGAGTGAAGAGGTTCCTTACTAATTCTCAAACAAAATGCAATTGTTTTTTTGTTTATGTCTCTGTGCACCTTCAGAATTTTAAACATCTCTCCACTCCCATGAAAATAAAACATACTTTTTTTAGAGAGCCAGCCTCTCTTCAAATTAAAATTGTCTCATATCCGTTATTATTCCTGGGACAGAATTGATAGAATCTGCTAACAATGGGCAGCAAATGTATTCACGTATCATTTGTAGGAATTGTAGAAAGCGCCTAAAATAGTGTTTATAAATAGCTTGCAAAAATAAATTTCAAGGAAGACATCCCCCATCAACAAGGAAATTTGTTATAATAATAATAATCGTTGAACTTGATGCATTATTATGTTGTTGAGATGTCTCAAAGCGCTTCACAGAATATCGTGTAAAGTGAATTGACTGTGTATTTTGTGGGCAAAACGCGGCAGCCAATTGCGCTCTGCAGTGTCCCACAAACAGTCGTGGATTGAGTGACCATTTCTTTTAGGGATTATTACCCGTGGAAAGCGATCCACCAATCGACTAACCACTAGTTCCTACTTCTGCTAGGTAAACAAAGGTGTGTAGAGCAAGGATACTTGCCTAAGGTTTCGCCCTGCCTGGGTATCGAACTGGGTCCTCTTGCATGCAAGGCGAGTGCACAAACCACTACTCTACAAAGAATTTTGTTACATTATCTCAAGTGCTAGAATAACCCCAATTAAACATTAGTTTGTGAGAGACGCTCGAAGTGCAGGACACCTTGTGATGGTGTTTGTTCCAGGAGTAAGTGTGGGAGACATTGTTCCCGATTGGACTGACCTGTGTTGATTTGCAAAATATCAATGCTGCTGCATCAAAAAGAGTGCAATTTTTGTAATCAGCGTTTAAACTGTGCATAAACTATCAAAGCTTGCAGGTCAATGCAAATAGTTCTGCAGTGTTAGCTGAAGGCAAAGCTGGCATATTGTAGGGAATTGAGAAGTATTGAAATGGAAAGAGGTCTTTCATGATCAATGCTGAAGTGAAGAGGTTAATGCCTACAGTCTGTGCTTACTGAGAAATAGATCTAAAAGACTTCAGGTGTACAGCTGTCTGAAAATGTTAGCACTCTCCACTAAAATATACAAATCAAAAAGCTTTAATAGTCGGATTTGTGTAAATGCCAAACCCTTATATTTGTATGAATCAAAGAATTATAGGCTGAATAAATCCGATTCAGTTGACCTTCATTAAGCATTCATTTTAAGGATTTTCTTTGCTATTTTTGAAATACATTTTCCACTTCTGTTGTTCAATTAATGTTTGACCCTTTAGCAGAGATGTAAATTAAATGACATTTCCTTGTTGTCCTGTATTTAAAATACTACGTTAGTTGCGGATCATAAATGATGATCTTCATTCTGTGGCTAATTTATTCATTTAACAATTTCCCTCAAGAAGCTCCAGCAGAAGGCTCGAAATCAAGCTAAGCAGAAGAAATCGAAGTCGGCTGAATTTCTGATGGGTGAGCCTTGCTTGATGAGTTATTGCTCATAATTTGTGTAAGGATTAATTAACTAATTACAGACAAATGGCTGTAGGCTAAATTTTGCTCTTGCATGTCAGGGCGCAATTTGTAATTATTTTAATCATTTATTTTTTTAAGCTTCAGATTTAATTTTAACCTAATTGTGTTTTGGTGACATTCGAGGATGATGTGTTTGTCTGCATATTTGATAAGGGAATGTTAAAGGAATTACGAAGAGAAATTTCTTGGTTGTCATTGAAATGTACTTTAGTGTAATGCGCTGTCCTGACCTTCTTGTTTTTTTGACGGATGCAGTAAAAGACGAGAGAGCTGCAGCAGAAGGCATTGAAAATCCAGCTTTTAACATCAGCACCAGAAACCTTTCAATATATCATAGTTCAGCAGAAAAAGAAATTAGACATGACAGACACGATGGCACCCTTACAGCTCACCAACAAAAACTCCTGCTACAAACCCATGATCAAGCAAGAGGTGAGGCTTCAGTTTTGATTAACCTCACATTGACTGACAGTAGTTTTGTTCTTGATCTAAACCTCACATTCCAGTGTCTAAACCTTACATTCCAACTTAGCATGTTGTAACAAGTTCCTTTAAAACCTGTTTCTTGAATTGTAAAACGATAGTAGATCCTTTCGAAACTGGGGATGTTTATGTGCATTCCATGCAGAAACTTGGAGGGAAAACTTCCTTCTGTTATCCATTGGGAGACTTGGTTCTGAAAGGTTTGTCTTTTGCTTTTCTTGAACTAATTCGTTGACAAAAATGTGTGAATAAGATGCTGAAAGTGGGTGCCCTTTAGATGCCTCCATTTAACTTCACACGCCTTTTCAAATGACCTTAATCACAGAGCTTACTTTAGTTTTCCTTTTATTTTCAGACTAAATCCCTTAATTATTTTACCAAAACGTCCACCTCAAAGTGGTAAAAAGTGCAATCATAGGATTAAAATAGGCTTAAACTGCTTCTGTAAAAAAATGTGTTGCACTGTGACAGGGTATACAGGCCTTCACATTAGGAACCTAGTATGCAAATCTTTTTTTATCATTTTTGTCAAAAAATTACTGTTTTTTTGATGACATGAGCAAAAAGGAGCAGGCACAAATAATAAAATGATGGCATTCGTTTTACTTGTGTGACAGCTTCCATTTAAGCACTGTCGGAGTGGACTGTGAAATTTGTCACAGTTTTACACCTGTTTCTGCTTCAATAGTCTGAATAGTCTGGCATATACATATTGTTCATCATAACAGTTATGAAACAAATATTACAGACTTATCCTTAATATCAATAATGGAAGAAGCCATTTGTCTTTTAAAACCAAGTAATGAAAGGCAATCCCTTTAACATAATTCCGAAGATGTAATGTAACAATCTAATAATACAAAAGTAGATGTCTCAATGAGATCGTATTGGACTTCAATTACAAAAGCCTCTTTGCTTTAAACCAATGCGCATGTGTACAAACATGTAGGAGCACAAACAAACCTAATCTGAGATCTCATTAAAAGAACGCTACATTGATTATATAATCTGTGAAACCTACAAATTAAGTTACATTTATGCAGCCGTAAACTGCTCTTGTCAGTCTCTTCCATTTATTTTCCTTTCTTTTATTTCAGTGTGTTGGCACAATGTGTGTAACAGTGAGTTTAAGACCAGGCAATGTATCAAGCAGCTTTTGAGATCGATGAACTGATTTAGGTCATTTTCTTATTTTTATCCACATCTATAAAATAACCCTTTAAATGTATAACAGCCATTCTACCAACACTGAATACAGTGCAAAAGGTCAGAGAGTATTATACATATTGTCATGCAGTGGAAAGATGGGATACAGCCAAGCTATTCATGTGAATCCATACATTGACAGAACTCTTAAGCACACAGATGTTGTCTTTACAAGGATTAAAACTGGGTGTGAACAACATGACAGCATGGTATTTTATAGTCATTCAAACCACATTCATAAGTGCATTGAAACTGATTTTAGTACAGCCCTTTGTTAAGCTTAGTGGTATTTGCATCATCTTATACAATAAAGTGCAGTGGATTTAGCAGGAATTGAATGAGACTTGTATGTGCCCTTATACCAATTCAACAGGGTGTTTCAAAGGACTATATCCAGATGGTCATTTAAAAATGCCAATATTCAGAATTTATGTATTTTAAACTGTACAAAACCAATGTCGCAAATCCTCTTTGAAATTAGTGGATTTTTGTTCTTCCTCCTATCTGCTTGACTTAGGTTGTAATCTCAAATGAAATACTAAGAAATCATGCCAAGCAGAGGACGCCACATCACCTACCTGCTGGGGACAAGCTTGTAGCTATAGTTTTAATAAAAAATGCTGCTGAATTAATGCAGTGTGCCATTTTCAGTGCAGCAAATGTCTTCTGCCAAGCAGACCCATCTGTGAGTTTAGTCTTCTATTTGCCTTATGGTAAAGGAGGATGAACAGAGAAATTGATTATAGTTAATGAAAAAAATTGTGGGCTCTTTATAATTTCTGTCTTCTTTTCAACCTGTTGTATTTTCTTTTGAGCACAAAATTTAGCAACACAAAGCAGCAATTAACATTTCCTCCTGATAAATAGGTCATATGTCATGACCAGCGGCATGATATGATAAATATCCCCACAAGTGATGCTGATTGGATAATTCACAATTGTTATATCACACTCCTGGCCATAGCATAGTTTCTATTTATAACACTTTTAGTATGTTTTCAACTGAAGAAAACAATCTTAATGAGTTTTATCTTCATATGGTATTGGTCGTCCAAAAATATTAGATATAACTGCATTGCTGTTATGTTTTCGGAAAAGTATTTTTATTCACACTGCTGTATATTTACAAATGAGTCATATTATTCCTGGTGTATAATAAAACTCTTCAACGTTATCTAAAGCCTGATAGTATGTTGCACCTGGTGGGATAAAGAGAAACGATCAGTAAGGCATCGATGACTAAATCTGTCAAATTGCAGATAGTATTAATCATTTGGAGATTTATTCTGGAAACATTTGGGGCTGGATAGGATTAACATAAATCCTTGTTCTTAAATATTTTTCAAATGTTCTTGCAGTGTAATTAAGCAATAATGGGTGTGCATGTGTCTACTGTCTTGTTAAGTCTGTCACATGTCCAGTTTATCCCCAATTAGACAGACAGTATGCACGCACACAGTTTATTTTTGCTATCCAATCAGACCTTAAATAGACTGTACCCCCTCACACAGTTCATTTTACTATTCCATCAGATCTTAATTTCTTTATACTTCTACATTGCCCATTGTTGAACATTTTTTTTTAAAAAAGCAAATACTAATTCAGTTTAAAAGCTGTACCCAAACTGCCTATTGTTTGGTATACTAGAGCATCACAGAGGCATTATGACTTTCACAATGAAGCTGAGTTTTGTTTTATTAACATGTCTTAGGTGAAGGGCCAAGGCTCTTAATGAAAGGTTGAAAAGCCTGTGGAAACTGTAAAAGGAAGGGACAACTCATGGAGGTAAAGAGTTCCACAGTCTTAAACTTTGGGAAAGAATGAAGCAGAGCAGGAGATGGTTCAAGGAGTTTACATAGCAAAGTCTAACATGCAGTTGGCTAACAGCAGAAACATTATGTTCTATACTTATAATAAGGAGAAATCTATACAATGGGAAATCGTATTATACGTGGAGCAAAATGGAAAGAGAAGAAAATGCTGATGACAGGTATTTGGAGTTGGGAGGAACACGAATAGTCTAAATTGAAAACTGAAGTTAACTCTTTATCGAATTGTAGTTCAGCATTTTGCTGACATGTTATAATTCACAGGTCATAACATAGAGAAGTTATTGTTAGAATTGATATAATTATTTGTAAACATTAGAGAGTGAAATATGAAGTGGATAAAGACATTGAGGAAAATGCTTGGTTGGTGGTATTTATGATATGATGACAACAAAAGGAATGGAATAGGTTGAGAGTTTGAGGAAAGGGTGGAACTTTGAAAGACAGCTGTAGCAAACTACGACATCGGCATCAGAATTTTAAAAATGCTTTCCTTAATGACTTGTTTCTTTTATGGTGTAATATGTGTAAATGATTTTGACAGCTCTTGTCGCCTCATCCAAGATGATCCTTAAGTTTTGCTTTAACCCTTTGAGCACTATAACAACAACAATCTGGGTTTGAAAACTCAAAAGAAAAAGAAATAGGCTCTGATTTTAATGGGAGACTGTTGCAAACATAATGCTATTCTGTAGTTCCATATATTCCCATCAGTTCTATTTTAATGTTCAGGTTTCAAAAAAGTCAGAGAATGCAAAGTCTGCCACATGAGAGACCGTTTCCTACTCACGTAAGTCACCATGGTAACACCAGCCACCCCTGCTCCCTTGAAGGATAGGTGCATGCCACTGAACGCACCTGGCTTAAATCGAACTTAATGGTCCATCGGCAGATCTGGCTGGACCTTATCAAATCCTACCATTCCACCCTCGCGTCCACTAAATCGTCGTTCTACTCCAAGACAATCTTGCAGGCCGAGGACACCCCCAGGCTCCTCTTCTCCGCCACCAACCAGCTCCTCCGCCTTCACTCTCATGCCTCACCCATCCTAACCTCCAATGCCAACTGCGAGGCGATGATGGACTTCCTCGAATCCAAAATTAAGGGGATCCGCTCAGCTGCCTCTGCCCTTCCATCTACTACACCCTCCCCATTTCCCCCTCTCACCCCGGCCACTACCCATCCCTCCACATCTGTCTTTCTCTTTTCTCTCACCACCACTATAACCAGCATGAAACTGACCACCTGCTCCCTCGACCCCATCCCTACCCCTCTCCTTACCTCCCAGCTACACCTCATTCATTCATTTTTATGTTGTACCTGGAATTCAGACATCATTTGCTAAAAAAAACATTTTTTGCTGGAAAATATATCCCTGGATTACCTCTCAGTGAAATAGTCATTCAGCATATGATGCAGGGCATTTGTCCTGTTTTAATTGATTGCTAGTGTGGCAAACTGATGTTTGAGAGTGCACTATTTTGTTTTGCTGGAGAGACAGCAAGAGCTGTTTCCTATTGGAAAGGACAGCAGTGTGAGATGCAATAGCTTACTTGTGTTATTACAGTACATAAGCCTTTGATTAGAACACAGACTGAAGGAGTTCCCAGCTGGATCCAGCCGCCTGGCCTCTCAGTCGCACTTGTTACTTGCTGACAGATATAGAAATTAAGTTTAAAAACATTCGGTTTTCAGTTTATTTTCTTTATTGAGGCCTGATAGTAAAGTGACTTTTACAACCCTTATTTACTGCTGTTATATATTTGTGATTGATGTCCAAAATGCAGCTGTGCGGCATAACAGATTTTATGCAATTTGCCTTGAAAACTGCTATTGAAATGTGAAAAGTGATGGCTGTTTACATCTACCTGTTTTTGTACACTATCAGGAGGTCACTGCTTTAAAATTATTCTTGTGTAACTTACATGCCCCAGAAGACCCACACCACATATTTCTAAATTTGCTCGATCCTTACCAAAGTAATAACTGTGCAGTATGATTTTAAAACTGATGTTAAAGTTCTGAATTTTTCCCTGATGTATCTGTATCAGTTTCATGCCCAGTTGAATCCCAGGTTGGTGCCTTTCATCTACCTTGAACATCTTCCGAAATAAGGGATATCAATGTGGCCCTGTTGTTGTCATTGCAACTGTCCTTATTTTGCTGTATGACAATGGTTTAAAAATATATGAAGTATGCAGATGAGCATTTGAAGAGAACTCTACCACTCCCTATATAGAAAAAATGTAAATGTAATATTTATTGTACTTATATCAAACCTAGGCCCTATATATGTTTAAGCAGAGTCTGGCTCCTAATACTATCATCCATTTTGCACTTTCATTGGTACATTGACTAACCTTTGCAGTGTGTGTTTATGAGGGTGAAATCTATGATGAATTAGTGAACACTAGTGTTCCAGGACACTGCTGATGCCAACGCAGCCAGTCTGGCACATCAGCAGGACCTGGAAGGGCAGACCAGTTACTGGGGCAGGGAGTTATCTCACTCAGCTCCTGTTAACCCTGTAAGCCAAAACCTAAACGGGAAGGGTAGTCCTAGCTGGACAAGCAGTGGGAAAGCTTGCTGGACAGCAGTATCAATGGCAAGCTATGTGGTTTTAGCTGTAGACTCCAGCAGGTTCCCTTACGCACACTCTGGGGTCCCCAAGCTTTGTCTCTTGCCAACCTCCACCTAATATTTTCTGGAATTAGTTAAGCAGGATGCATCCCTCCAGGGAGAGCGCGCGCAATCCATTCCAACAATCTATCTCTGGGATTTCCATGTGTAGGTGGGATGCACATTTGCCCACAAAATATACCATCAATTCACTTTACAGTATAATCTGTGAAGCACTTTGAGACATCTCAAAGATGTGATAAGTCTCTAAATCAAATGCAAGGATTATTATTATTATATTCACAGAAATCTCAGCTTGGTTTAGATATGCTTATGCACGGTGATGGGTTTCCACGTATCAGACACCTGGCTGACCAAAAAAAAATGTTTACAACAGGTAAATGGTGTTACTTCGTATTACTGGGCAGATAATTTCAAACAAACTGTATTCCTCCTGTTATACTGGGCCTAGAAATTAGTAAAGTGTAGCCTTCATGAATTTAAGGTATTCCAGTGTAGTCATGAAGGTCAAGGTATTATTAGTCACAAAAATGATGGCTGTACTGCAGAAATGAACCAGTCTTTTTATGGTTATTTGAAGATGGTTTAAAGATTAAAACCTTTTTGAAAAGAATTTACACCAAGAAGGTTAATGTAATTCGGGAAGATATGTTAAATAGATTGGACTTATTTTAATCTTTTATTTGAATTACAACCCATACCATCGTACTATGGATACTTCACATGATCACAAGATTATTTTAAATGAAGAAGACCCTTACGCCCATCCGATTTCATATTTTCGGAATACCCACCCTACTGTTCCCCTATTACATCAAGCTACTTTTTTAAATGAGTCCAGAGTCCTGGCCTCTACCACCTTTCCTGGCAATCTGTTTGCTGCATCATGAGTCTAAGATGTATAAAATATTAAAAGTCACTCATCTGCTGAATGTCAGTTCAAACATAGCTTGAGGAGTGATGTCTGGGCACCTGTTGTGAATGCCCACAATGCAGTATCTATTTTTATTGGTGAAAATACTGAGTGTATGGATGTTTTACAGTTCTATTGCACCGTATTTGGAAAATGATTTGAAAAAATGTTGTTTTCATGCTTACAAGATTGGTTCTAGTAAAAGTGGATATTGGACATTCTATGGTGTTCTCTTCCAAAATTAGCAATCTTTGGGCAACATTTTTAATTTAAGAGCAATTACTGTGGGAAAGATGTACATCACAAGGAAGATGTGTATTTCATGAGCAAGGCCACCGACTTCCCTGAACCATGAAAACATGGATGAAATCACAAAATGGGATTGACTGTGTGTAATTTAACTTTTTCACCATTTGTTCAGCTGTCTGTTACTAAACGAGGGAGCTGAATTTGTCAGTTGCTGTTAACAGTGTTAAACTTAGATAAGAATGACTTTAGATTCCCTATAAGAATGGGTAATGAGAAATAACGTTGCATGATTAGAAATTAAAGTGAGACGTTGGAATTAATCTAAACAGCCATTATTTTACCAGAGGTTTAACTGCCATGCATGAAGAATCAATGATAGCAGATAAAAGTTACAAATCCATAAAATTCCAATCCTTTGAGTTCTTGCTTTTAAGACTTTTTTTTAATGCCACAAGTTAACATATGAACATCTAGATTCAAAGATTGTCTTCTGTGACCTACCCTGTTTTGATAATTGGAGCATTGAGTTTGAATGCCTTGTGCGAAACGTTAAGTACAGAACCTAAAACTTACAAGGTAACAACATTGACATGCTGTACTGGTGTCAGTTTCAGAATTAACATTTTGGTTCATGTGCTTCTAATAATCAGTGACCCTCACTTCATGTGCTTTCCACAGGAAATGAATACTGCAGAAATTACTTTGACCTACAGATGTATGAGGGAATAGACCCAAGGCAGTATGGGATAGAGGTCGGCACTGAAGATGAGTGTGAATTAAGTATGTAATTTCTTGTCATTATATTCTCTTCAAATCACTTTAATGAGGTGGGAATGAAAGCTTGTAGACTAGACTACTTTTATACATATATTGGATTTATAACTTGTTTTCTTATTAAAAATAGTTAACATTTAAAAGTACAATTCTAATAAATTACTTTACACACTTGAAATATCGAAAGGCATATTGATGATGTGTTTGGAAATAAATACATAGAAATAATCTTCAGACTCTTTTCTTGATCATTTTACACCTAACCAGGTGTGACTTAGCTCCCTTCATATAAGACCTCATTGTCCAATATCATGAAGCTTTTAGTCAGCAACCTATGGTATTAAGAATAAATTAGAATTGACCCATATTGTAATTCCTTTTAATTTTTTGCTCTGTCAATTCAATTTCAAAGTTATTTAAATTAAATGGAGCAATATAAATGATCTCACTCTTTTAGGTTGTTGGAACAATGTATATGATTGTACAGAGCAGTTTGTAAATACAAAGATGATTTTAAATAGCTTATAAGCACATCTGTAAGGCAGTTTCTCTTTATTTAAAAAAAATGTGATTTCCTGTTTTAAAGGTACCTGTACTTAAATTCATGATTTTGTTACACAATGCATAATGTTCTCTTAAAACTGAGGAAATAGGGCAACTGTAACTATGTTGGCTTTCTAAGTGCTTTGAGAGATCTTCCTGATATGAAAAGCAATATATAAATGTAAATTTTATTGTAAGACACAAGTAAGCACTGATCAGCCTGAATTTTGATAAAATAAAATGCATTAGATAGGTGACACTTACTCAAACAAAGACTTTTCAAACATAATATTGTTTGAATTAAATTAAAGTTGCGTTTAATTTGTGCATTTTTTTCATTTTGTCCAGGTTGTTCCTTTTATAGTCCAATTACTACCGTGAATTGCCACACAATTGACGAGGTATCATGGTCTGGATCACAGAATTCTCCATAGTGACTACCCATTCACTTGATGATTAGCTGGTCGGAGCCATGGTTCAAACAAAGTGTCATTTTCCACCCTTTTGATGCAGTGACTATCATGAAATGGCACCATTCACAACCAGGATAAAGGATATGGAGTAATAGAAACTTCTGGTACTCATATCTGCAGTCTGCTTTGAAGTCAAACGCTCAAATGAACTTAATTTATTTATTTTTACAATTTTTCCTAATGTTCTACTCTTACCCACCTACTGGTGAAGGCAGGGACTCAAGGTGGTGGCTAGACATCAGTAACTGTCTGGTACCTCACCAAACTGGCCATTTTTCATGTGTGAACCCAATACAGTGAATGTCAATAGTTATTTGACCATGGAGTTTGATAGCCTGGTCTAATTATATCCTCAATTGAGATCCACACATGGACATTTGAACAAGGGTTACTTAATCAGGTCAAGTGACCTCAATTGAACACCTAATACTATCATCCATTTTGCACTTTCATTGGTACATTGACCAACCTTTGTAGTGTGAGTTTATAAGGGTGAAATCTATGATGAATTGGTGAACACTAGTATTCATTATGGTGCTATATCACAGCATTGATAGAAAGTGATCAGTTCTTAGTGATCTATTAGTTATTGACTGGTCCACAGATACGCTGGAGAAGGACCTCTCTGTTCAAGCCCTCAACACTATTCAAACAAGTGCCTCCAGACACTGGCTGCACCATGCAAAGCTGGGGTGGGGTTGCTGCTTCCAGCATAAATCGATCAATCAATAATTAATGCATTAACCAGTTGTTTTTACCAATATTTGTTCACGTAAAGGATCAACTTCAAGATCCTCACACTTGTGTTCAAATCCTTCACTCTCTGGCGCCTCCCTACCTCTCTGACCTCCTCACTCCTCAATCTACCACCCAGGGCCTTCACTTGCTTGTCCCTCCTCTCCCCTTTTTCAAGTCCCGCCTGAAAACCTTCCTCTTCGACCGTGTTGCCACCGCCGTTCCCTGCCCCCATCCCCCCCCGGCTTGCAGTCAGGCTCCGCCACTGTTAAGTGCTCTGAAATGCTACCCTGCATGGAGTGCATTATATAAGTGCAAGTTGTTGTTGTTTTTCTAAAACATCACTCGTCGCAATTTTCACCCCTGTGTGGAAAAATTCGCATTTCTAATTTTACAAAGGTAAGTTTGGTAATTTTACTGACCAATTGAGATTTGGATGCCCTTGTCTACCAAGCTTGGTAAATTTACCAATGATTGGAGAATCTTTCCCTGGAGCTATAGACCATCCGGTCATAGTTGTGCAGCAGTACAGTGTGACAATAGCCAAGCTTCTTTAAGGAGAATATTAAGAGGCAGTAATTTGAATAATTGTGGCTAAATTTTTTTAATTGCCTTCACCCAGAGCATTATCGTGCTTTAACTTGCACATTTTGCTCACAGTAATTGAAAAGAAAACAAATAGCTTGTGCGTTTAGTGTTTAATTATGTGGTAGTTGGATGTATTTGGATAATGAACAATATGACGTGTTATTGGCATTGCTTTTGCAGTAATGTTAGCCTACTCCATTGTGTTCTAACAGTTACCAATGTATTGTGTAAAAAGAATATGTCTTTCACTGTTCCATCTCTTGCTGATGATAGCATAATTTATTGCATATTTTTCAGAGGCATTAGATTCCATTAGTGTACTTTGTCCATTATTAAGTACAAAAATGCCCTGAGGATAACTTCCCAACCTGCCAAGTCTATTAAATATTATGCGCTCATAAGTAAAATAGTTATGCATTAACAAAGCCAACAGGTTTAAATAAAAACATTTAATTACAACATCCTGTTTGAAATAAAAACAGAAGTCATTGGGAGCAGAGTTCTAATGAAAGGTCAACAACCTGAAACATTAACTCACTTTTCCTCTCTCCAGTATCTACATCTGCATCTGCACTATTTTGCCATCCTGTTTGAATATGCTAATACAACAACAACATTACATTTGTATAGTGCCTTTCATGTCGGGAGGACGTCCCAAGGCACTGGACAGTCAGAGGTTTGGACCCGAGCTCAGGGTTGGAATCAGGGAGGGTGGAGGGCAGGGGGGAATGCATGGTGATCGAAAGCACGGTCGAAGAGGCAGGTCTTGAGATGGGTATTGAAGGAGGCAAGGGAGGTGGCGAGGCGGAGGGACTGCGGGATGGAGTTTCAGAGGGAGGGGTCAGAGTGGCAGAAGGCCCTCCCACCAATGATGGAGCGAGTGAGGCGGAGGATGTGAAGCAGACAAAGTCCGCTGAACAGAGGGAAGATGGTAAGGAGTTAGAAGGTCTCAAAGGTAGGGTGGAGCAAGATCATGGAGGGCTTTGAAGGTGAGGACCAGGATCTTGAATCTGTGTGATGGGAAGCCAGTGAAGTCGGGCGAGGATGGGGGTGATAGGGTTATGGAGCCTGGTGCAGGAGAGGATCTGGCTGCAGAGTTCTGGGTGATCTGCAGCCTGTGGAGGGAGGAGTTGGGGAGGCCGACAAGCAAGGAGTTTGTATAGTCAAGCCTCGATGTAATGAAAACATGTATGAGAGTATACAATGGTAGCTTCTCATTTTGCTTATGGACTGAAAGCCTACGCTTCAACCTCATGGAATAGAGCTTGATTACGTATTTTTTAAAAAAAATAATGCTTATGTATGTCTGAACCACAAATTGAGACTTACATGTTTTTAGACTGTTGCAATTGTTAAAAAAAATCATGAATTTGTTTTGCTTTGCCACTCAAAATGTATCGTTAGTAAAAGTACACCTATTTAAATATAATGGTCATCACTCTGCCTGTGTGGCAAATGTACATTTTAGTTTTGGGAAAAGGGAGTTTTACAAATATTTCTATTCAGAATATAAACATTAATTTTGCAGCCATAATCACTGTTCAATCATGTATTTACATTCTTGGATAGATTCCCTTTTTAATAGTCACACAGAGGGATTTTATCTAAAATGCCATGAATTAATGGCCTTGGGCTTACCTAAGTTCTTTCTGAGTTCTTAAAATAGTGATGTCATGAGCAATTACAAAAAGGAAATGTTAGAATGATGGTGCATCATGCCTTACAACATAACATTCCCAGCCATTAATCCCAAGTAGTGTAACAGTGCAGATAACAAAGATAAAATCAGTCTCATTGGATGGTGTAAAATACATGAAGCAGAATGAGGATGGAGGTGAGCAGGATGCGTCCCTCCAGGAGGGAGTGTGTATTCCATCCCATTACGTGGGAATTTCCATATGTAGGTGGGATGCATGAAACTCTAAGTTTGGTTTGGATACCCTTACGCTTGTTGATGGGTTTCCGATTGCGTCAGACACCCAGCTAACTAAAATAAGCATGAAATAGGATAGATGTGTGCTTGTTGTATGCATATAGGTCACACTATATGGGCTTGGGCATATTTATTAAGTTGCAAGCGCTCTTTATATTTGTTTTGTTCTGCAGGTCCTGACAAGAATAATGAAATGGATTTATATTTACAACTGCTGAAGGTTTTAGAAGATGACAGTATACCAGGTAAAATAACAAGGTTAATCAATATTTTGTCAAGGATCACAATTCCGATGTTTCTTTCTCTCTCCGAGTCTGGCAACATGATGAAGATGGAGCCCAAAAGGGGATGAGGGTAAATTGAAAGGAAAAAGGGACAATGGGCTCCAAAAATAAAACAATAGAATTGCAGGGTCCAAGCATAGAGTGTGGATGTTTTGCTAATTGTTTTGCCTCCTTCCCTTCCGAAGGAGCGGTTCATGTTGAGATGTGGTTCCAAGGGTTCTAGGCATTCTCTGATATCTTGCCCGAGCGATCAATCTTTATTTGGGAGAGTTGACAGCAGATCATATAATGGGCCAATTGATAAAAATAGTGTACATTTTCATTACTCATCATCACTGACCACTCACAAGTACCATCAGTCATCAGATAGCAGCCATGAGTGGGGAGCTTGGCAATTTTGATTCCAGTTGTAGCACCTGATCTTCTGCCCCATGGAGATCAGATAAGAAGTATTGTGTTCTTTTACTTAATTTACTCTAAATATAGTAGCTAACCTTCCAATTCAAACCATCATCCTCATGGCATTTCCACAGCTGCACAAGGAAGCATGGCACCTCCTCCTTTACCTCAGGCTTCCAGAAACTGGGCCCTTGTCTCCACTATTCCACTGAACTAGGGAATAATAACAAGTAAACAAATGAAATTCAAGAAAGGATAAGATCATCCCTGGTCTTGGTCCTAGAATATTCTTTCAAAATAAAAAAGCAAATATTTCAGCTGGTAGAAAGTAATTTCCACAATAAGTGATTTTGTATAAATATAAGTGTACAACAGTATATTTAGGTCAGGTGGTAAAACTACAGTCTGGTACACAGAAGTCCAAATTCTTGTGTAATTGGAGTGTGGATTTGTAATATTGGTGCTGACAATTCATCCATCATTTTTTTGTAGGTGAGGTTGGGAGAGAGAAGAAGGTCATAAGCCTATAATCTGAAAAGAAAATTATATTTTGATATTATGCCAGATGTTGTGTTGTGTTCATTTCAAAGACCATCAAAGACAATTACTTTTTTCAGAAATCCATTTCTCGTATAAGTACAAATAATGTGACAAAATAACAGCTTGTATTTGACATCTTGCAATAGGATTTGGCTTTAGATTGTGTAGGCATAGTGCATAGCAGTTCATCAGAATCAAATGCATGAATACATTTGGCCATACAGTACTTCTTTGATGGCTATTATTGGGTATTCTGTACATAACACTTTTAAAGATTGTGAATGCAGAACAAAATTGTTGCTGTCAGTATGTTTGTACAAGTACAGCAAACAGAGCAGTGTTCCTTACTGAGCTCAAAAGCCTTTGTAACATAGTAGAATGTGATGTGATGTTATAACCAATAGATGGTTCTCTTCATACGTACTCTTTCCCTGTGTAGGTCACCAACATTAAAGAGGTGCTGCTGTTTTGGGGAAGGAAAGACCTCAAATCTAAACATACCAGACATTTTGAAGGCTTACCATTGATCTGAACGGTTAAAACTCCTCAGTTTTATTTAAACAGAGGGAGAAAAAGCTGGTTCAGCAACCTCACAAAGATTATCATACCCCTTTAAACATTTCATAGCCTTATGCTTATTTTGGGAATGCATTATATAAATGTTTTCATTGAAGTCATTGTACACATATATTTTGTGACAACACAATCCATGTACAGTGTACTATTTAAGAACAGAGTCGGTTTGTTTTTGCTCCCATGAGTTCAGTTTGGCAGGGAAGGATCCTGGTTATGTGGAGTAGTCATGCAAGATTGGGATGTCACCTTTTGCAAGGGTTTTGGCAGAGAATATTGTTTACTCCTCTCCACTTCTTGTGTTGATATAGGTCTCCCCTCTTAGAGCGGTTGGTCGAGCTTTGTGTGAATGTCTGTGTGTCTGTGTTGGTCTTCAGGAAGTGACTGCTTATTTACTGCACAAGCTCAAAGTGGAGTTGCACAACTTGTGATTGATTGACATTTGTCCTATGGTGCCATGCTTGTTATGGGAAGGGTTTCACTTCACCACTGAAGGAGGCGAACTGAATTTAGAAGCTAAAAATGATTCCACACAGCAAAATGAGAAATAGAATGACTATTTTTGTGCCAAGTGTAAGATGTTAACCTATTATTATTTTATCTTCTTGAAGCCAACAGTGTGGCTTGTGCTGGCCTGCATGTTCCTGGGTGAATACTGTTCAGTGGTATGCCCAGCAGCAGTGAGAGGCTTAGGCTATGGGGATTGCATAGCTGGATGAGGGGCTTTCTCTGTCTTTGTGACGTTGTAGATTATAATAATAATAATAATCCTTGCATTTGATATAGCGCTTTTCATGTCTTCTCGACGTCTCAAAGCGCTTCACAGAATATACTGTAAAGTGAATTGACTGCATATTATGTGGGCGAAACGTGGCAGCCAATTGCGCACAGCAGTGTCTCACAAAAGTCGTGGATTGAAGTGACCAACTTATTATTGTTTTTCTTTGAGGGATTATTATTAGGCGTGTGGAGTAAGGAAACTTGCCCAAGATTGGCTTCAATATTCATGGATTGAGGAGGCCTGACCATAGCTCTATGATAATGCACCTTTCCAGGCAAAGTTTTTCCAATGGTCATTCCAAGAGAGTTGGAATTAGTGGAGTTTATACCATTTAGTATGTACATATAGTCGGCATGGGATTTACGATATACTGAGGTAGCTGTGCAATCTGTCTCTGTATTTTTGTCTATTGTCCCTCTGCTAGCTCATGGCTTAGACCATATCCCGGGTATTTTTCAGACTTTTCATGCAACCTTTTGAACTCCGAATGAATGTGATGCACAGGATGGTGATGTGTTTGAGAGAATTGAGCGGGGAATGACGGTGTAGTTCTTGGGGTAAAGAGAGGTCATCTCACACTGGAGGATTTCTAGTTCTAGAGGAAATGTCTAATTTGAATGTTACACTCACAGGTCATATGGGTGAAGCAGAATTAACTCAACCCTTAAGGTGCAGTTGGTCGGGTTTGATAACACTGTACCTTTCTCTTGCAGAATTTAGATGTGATGTAAGGATCCAAGAATGCTCCATTGCCATTGGGAAGAAGGCCAATTGTCGCTGGGGATTGGAATGTGGGCTTATACATTGATGTCTCTTATCTTGTCTAATCAGGGCACTCGTTTCTATTGAACCTGTTTTAATAGTTCAGGAAGACATCAGGACAAAAAACATTTTGTTTATTCACCAAGGTTGCTGAGTGATTAAGCCCAATTTACTGGTCGTGTTAAATAGTTGTAGATATTTGTGGTACCAATATTGCTTAGGGTCAGATTTGTAAGACACGGCAGTATAACATTATTTAAGAGTATTCTCTCCATTCTTGATGACAGAAACCACTGGAGCTATTGTGGGGCATAAAAACACTGAATTTCACAGCAACATATCGGGCCTGCGGCAGAAGGTTGAGAGTGAGATGATCCCTCCTTATGTCGAACAGTTTGAGGAGAGTGTACAAGATGACATGATTCTGGTTGGCAGCCTTTCACTGGAACAGGTCAGAGTTAAAATCTGAATAACAATGCCATGCTTCGCTTTCTGTCATCATGTTGGTCCTCACCATCTAATAAAATCATCTTGCTGTCCGCAATTGGTTGACGCAAACCCTGAAACACACAAAATGCTCCATTCCAATGGAAGTAATTTGCAAGAGGCATTTATATCATTTGACAAATGTGTATTTTTGTTTAAAAAAATGTTTAATTCTTATTGCAGCTTGATTTTTTTCACTGTATTTTGCGTTGTTGGATTTGATAGGAAATCACTGATTAAATCATGTGTATTTAAAGATGTGCAATTTCATTCATTAACATTATTCCTTTAATTGAAATATTTCAGAGAATCCTAACAGGTAGATTCATGAATATTGGTGTCTTAACGTGGTAATCACAAACAATCACTAATGCACAAACTGTGGCTTCAGTGTACGGCTGAAATTGCAGGATTCGCTAATACAAACACAATCCAAATACTGGCGAAGCCCATTTTCCAGCCATCATGTCTTTCCTCAGACTTTTTGGGCCAAATTTCAGGCGAGGAATGACCCAAAAAGAAAAATGCCAGCAATGATCACAAACTGGATGTCACAAATTTGTTTAAAGATTCATATCACAAAAAGGAACCTGCAATTAACACAGCGACTTCCAGTTTGTGAATAACGTATTGCATTTTGGCTTTCAAACACTAACCTTTTTTTTAATATTGGAGTAATTTACATGTTTACTCAACACTCAAGAAGCAGATCGAAGCTTTTAATACCATGTTACAGGCCATCATGTTTGTCACCCAGCAATTCTTCTGAGAGGTAAGAGAACATTTAAAAGTGCATTTTGAACGTGCTAGATTAAGAAATAGATTAAACAAATAAAACTGTTTATATCCAAAAATTGAACAATGGAATGATTATTTTGCATTGTGCATTGTACTTAAGATGATAACCTATAATTTTTATGCTTGAACAGACAAGTGATCATCTGCAGGGTTTCCATGATGCACACATAGATTGCCGATCACAAGAAAAACATCTGGCTCAACATAAAGAGCTGTCTATCAAAAATCAGTGGGACGAAACCAAGGCAAGAGTGATGAGATTTACAAGGGGGAGAAAATGTTATTAAGCTTCATGAGTGTTCTGACTGTTTCTATGTGCGATTTTATTTTTGAATGTTTACTGTCAGAAAATGTTGAGATTAATTCAATAACAAAGCAACAATTATTGGATCCTAATCTCCTTTTATTATTAATTGAATAACTAAATTTAAGGTATTTTAGGTAAGTATCAATTGCTCAATAAGTATTCATCAGCAGTTAACATAATTAATACAATGACTGTAGAATGGTTGTCATTACATTAGCTAGTTTTCAGTGTGTCTTCTATTATTCAGAGATTTTTTTCAGTAATGCAGCAATTTAAGTTGAGAGAAAGATCCTGCTTAAAATGTAAGCAGCAAAATACTATAAAGCATTGAATAGTACTATAGGTTATTGTGATCAACAGAGAGAAGAAACAGAATTTTTGAGTTCTTGAATGTTTTGGAGTGATGTTATATAATTTAATAGTTATTTCACAATCATCATGCCTAATAACTTAAGCAAATCAGTCAAATGCATTCAAATAACTTCCATACATTCCTCCTATATCAACATTCATTGCAACAGAAGCAGTGTGTTTCATCCATTGTCAGAACAAACAAAATTAAAAGGGAATAGCATTCTGTATCCAAACCCATTAAGAAGATAGGCAAAGGAGTAGCAAAGGATTTTAATACAAATTCGTGATAATGCATATGAGAAATGTGAAAGAGTAAACATAATAATAATCCTCAGTTTTGATATTGCATTTTACAATATCGCTGAGATGTCTTAAAGTGCTTCACAGGATTTTATAGTGAAGTGTAGTGACTGCAAATTTGTAGGTAAATTTAGCAGACAATTTGTACAAGTTGACAGAATGCTCATGAGCAGACCAGCAGACGGAAACATCAGTGTAATACAATTTACATTTAAGTTTAACATTTTACTGTAATGTTAACCCTTAAACTTGATCGAAGTTATCCCCCTTTGCTTCTTTTTCATTTTCTTCCGATTTTAACAACTTTCTACTTTTATATCTCTAGCCTTTTTTTCCTGAAGATTTTTTATCTTTCCTAAACTTTCACTCACTTTTCTTTCTCCCAGCTCCACGTACGTCGCAAATGCGAACAGCTTAACCTCTGATGCGATTTTAGGATCTTAACAGATGAATTCGCCAGGATAGAGCGATCATGTCTGATGAATGAACATTTTAAACATTAAAATATTCAAATCAGATGAAAATAAAATGCAAAGAAAACCTACAGTAAAAAGTGCATATTCAAATGATGGGACACAAATATAAAAATATTTTATTAATAATAATAATAATCCTTGCATTTGATATAGCGCTTTTCACGTCGGGAGGACGTCCCAAAGCGCTTCACAGAACACACTGTAAAGTGAATTGACTGTATATTTGTGGGCGAACGCGGCAGCCAATTGCGCACAGCAATGTCCCACAAACAGTCGTAGATTGAAAATGACCAATTTGATTATTGTTTTTGTTTTTTTGGAGGGATTATTATTAGGCTCTGTGTGGAGTAAGGAAACTTGCCCAAGGTTTCGCCCTGCCTGGAATTGAACTCAGGACTCTCGCTTGCAAAGCGAGTGCTCTAACCACTGAGCTACAGGACTTATTGGATTAAATGCTTTGTTTTGAAACCATTTAAACCAACAAAATAAACACTTTTTAATTCTGTGAATGCGTATAATTATTTTTAGAGCTTTGAAAAATGCTGGAACAATAATGGAGCTGGCTGACACTGTGATATCAGCCAGATTTTTTATTAATACATTATTAGGAGCCCTGTAGCTCAGTGGTTAGAGCACTCGCCTTGCAAGCAAGAGACCTAGGCTTGATTCCCGGGTAGGGCGATATGTTGGGCAGGTTTCCTTACTCCACACGTTTCTGTTTACCCAGCAGTTTACCTGCATTGTCGAAGGTGCTGTCTTTTGGACGAGCGGTTGAACCAAAGTCCAATCTGCCTGATCAAGTGGATGTTAAATTCCCATGAACCTTCTTAAAAAGAAAAGTGGTCATATACTTCAAGCGCTCCGAGACGCTACCCCATGTGAAGGGCTTGTATAAATATATGTTGTTATAGCTGTTTGTGGAACATTGTTTTGCATAAATTGGCTGCTGTGTTTGCCTACTAATATAGTCACTTCACTTCAAAGTAAATCTGACAAAGCGGTTTGAGAAGTTCAGTAACATGATAAGGTGCTATTTCAAATACGGATTATTGTTATCAAGTATTAATGCCTGCCTAAATTTTTTCCAATAAAATCAGAAACCTGAATGATTTTACTTTCGCTCATGGCAAAATTCATCTCAATGTATTTTCTTTCTATGTCAAGATATTACAGGTTTCACATGAGTGATTATTGTGAGAAGATTGAGGTGAACGCAATGATATATAATGTGCCATTTTGCAAAGTTCACATACATTTATGGGAACATTAACATTTGTGTTTAAGAAGTTCTGATTAAAGAACTACTAAGCTTTTCACACAAAGTGAAATACTCGCAACACCCTCATTGACAGAATGGAACAAGTTACTATTTGTCTTTGTTTTATGTTTCTATTTGTTTCAATGGGACAAATCTGAAAGCAGGGAGTGGAAATTACAACCTGTGATAATTATCATTGGTATTAAGTAACATAATGCGCACAATGCAAGCCACAATCTTTACCCCCAGGTATGGATCAGCAACCTACAAAAAGAAAATTAATTAGCATTTATATGTAATTAAAATACACAAAGCTTTAATCTCTGTACATTCCTCAAAGTTTCTGGGAATTTAACTCCTTTTAAATTTACTTCAGGAAGATTTACATTCAGTCTTTATCTCTTAAAACCATTTCTTTATCCCAGGACAGGCACCTGTGGGGTGCTTCAGTACAAGTGGGCTGGGTTGCATTTTACTCAGAGAGTTAGACATTCTGTGGAGCAGATGCACATGGGTTCCCTCCACAAGATGCACCTTGCAACCGGAAGGGCTTTTTCCAGCACTGGTGCCGTTTACACTGTCAGAACAGAATTATAGTTTGCCGATCGGTGGGAACCATGTTGAGTATTTTTGTCACTACCGCAGTTTATTATAACTATAGCATTTGGTTTTGCATAATCTAAAAGTATACAAGTTTTATAGGTTCATCAAAATTTATAGCGAAGAAGACCATTCGGTCCATCGAGTCTGCACTGTCTCTCAGAGCAAGCTATCCATTCAATCCCACTGCCCCTTACTAACCCCATACCATGTCAAGCCTTTATCTTTCATATGCCTGTCTACTTTCCTCTTGAAACCCACAATGGACTCTGCTTCTATCACCTTACTTGGCAGGACATTCCATGTTCCAACAACTTAATTCGAAGGCCCAGATTCCATCAGATAGGGTTTAATCTTCGTCAAATTTATTTTCAGTATAAAAGTTAATGCAAACCCTTCAGCAGCTCCAGAAAATGTTGATTCGCCTGGCCCAACGTTTTTTAAAAAAATAGATTTATGCATGACGTGAACCACAGGATAAAATATATTCCTTTGTCAGCATACACAGAAACAGCCTAATGGAATAAAAAAGGCACGGATACAGATTAAAATAAACAGGAACATAATGACTGCACTCCATTAGTGCCATTACATTTAGTGTTACATACTATTTTCTGAAAGAACATAAAACACAGTTAGAACTGTTCTTAGATTGCAAAGCTTTTCTCAGATTACAAATTGTCATGGTTTAACACATTTACTGAATTCCTCATCTCTCTTGATATTTGCAATTTGTGTGTGTGTGTATTTGTTGTTGTTAGTTTATAAGCTGTAAGCATGCGTGAGTATATTTCTAGCACAGTGCTCGCAAAGTGCTGCATTGTTCGAAGTACCATCTTTTGGATGAAACGTTAAACTGAGGTCCTGAGTTCAGGTGAATGTTAAAGATTCGATTGTTCTATCCCAAAACAGAAGGAGAACCTCCTAGAGTCCTGGACAGAAAACCTCCAGACAAATTGGTCATTCACTGTACGGTGCAAGTACCTGCAGCATTTGCCTACAAATATACAATGACTACACTGATGGAAATTAGCCGTTAAGCGTTTTAAGACAATTAAATGTTATAGGTGCTATGTCAAATTATAAGGAATATTGTAGGATTATTTTTATTTGCTTTCAAATGTAACTATGTTAAGGATATATATATAAATATATTTAATTTCCATTATTATGTTAATATAGTGTGAAAATTCAGTTAAAAATTTAATAAATACAGGATGCATACAGTAGATTTGATATAATAAATATCAGGCAAGTGCCTGAATAACCGATACGTAATAAAGTTATGAATTGATTGTAGTCAGCCTCACAAGTTGTGTGACAAATCATATCCAATCTACGATATATCTTCTACGTGTAATATTTGGACTGTGTTTTCAATAAAGAAAATTAGTGAGTGAATTTTGCAAATCCAGAAAATCCATTTGAAATTTCTTCGTCACCTCACTTTGCTGTTGCGATAAGTTGGAAATAAAAAATAAGGAGTTCGAAAAAAAACAAGACACAGTATGTGCATACCAAGGGCTGAACTGTGTCAGAGATTGACCTAGCACAAGGCACAGGTGAATGTTCGTGTGGTCTCAAAGATATCATTTACTATTGCTATTGGAACATGGGGTCATCATTGTATATGTGAATGGATGGATCTTTATCATATGGTGGTATATGTGTAAAAAAATGAAGAACTGATATCATTATCTTTTGGTTTGCAAATTAAAGCATTTACTGCTCTGGTTATATAGCTTGAAGCAAATAAGAACACGATTTATACAGCTCTTTAATAACATTTAAAAATAATGCCGTAAAATGTGGCCCACCCATTGGATTGGCCAGAAACTTTTAAGGACTTGTTTCTGAGTTGTATTATTTCACTACCTTGATATATTCTACAGAGATGTTCAATGCTCAATTCTAATTTATACCAATTTTTTCCCCAGAGATTTGCCTTGAAAAGTGTAGAATAAACTGGACATAGAAAGTGACAGCTTCCTTTTCTATCCTCAGGTTGAATATTTAAATTGAAAATCAACTAACCAGTGATCTTGGTGTCTGCAGGGTGATTTAGACCCACATGACTAACACATATTTGGATAATAATAATCCTTCCATTTGATATAGCACCTTGTGACGATGAAACATCTCAAAGTGCTGCACAGTTTTCTGTAATATGTACTAACAATACCATCTTATTTGTTTTGGTCTGGCTTAATTGATAGCACTTTCACCCCTGAGTCAAAAGATTGTGGGATCTAGCTCCATATCGGGACTTTGAAATCATGTAGTCCAAGCTGACACTCTATTGTAGTGGTAGGGATGTGCTGCATTGGAGGTGCTGACCTTTGGATGAAAATTGAACTGAGATTTCATCTACGTGTTCAGGTGGATGATAAAGATCCCATGGCACTATTCAAAAAGATAAGGGAGTTTTCCCTGGCCAACCATACCCAAATATAATTGGTCAATCATTTCATGGCTGTTTGGGGGCCATTGCTCTGTGCATCTTGGCTGCCGCGTTTGCTACTTTACAGTATATCCTCTGAAGTGTTTTGAGACATCCCCCCAATGTGAAAGGTACTATATCAAATGCAAGGAATATTAATTATAGGAAAAATGATTATTATACAAAGAGGGCGGAGAAAGAGATTTTGAAATTTTGAAGTGGTTGTTTGTTTAGAAAATAATTTCTGAGCCTGTTTGAAGCTGTAGACATTTTTATTTACTTTTGTAGATATCACTTGATACTGCTGATTCTCAATATATTTAAAAAAATAATGTTTCCAATTATATTTCTAATTTTGTCCCTTTGGCATATACCTCTGCCTCGGTCTGACGTCATGGGATAGTTCAGTGGACACTAATTGCCGTCTGGTACACTGCCCACTATTCTCAGTCTCACACTGAGGGCGCAGCGGGGCAACCTGTGAGAGCATTGAGTGTCAACAGGCTATTCAGCTGAAGAGAGCATCGTGGCTGAGCCTGACCTCTCACCACCCAGATGCAACATAATCACACTGGTTGGTTGCAGAAGAGGGCGTAGGAAACTCATCTGATTATAGCCTCTCGAACCTGGGGAAGCTCATAGTCAATTTAGCTTCTCCATGCAGCTCACAGTGAGACTGGCAACCCCAGCTGAGACCAGCAGGAACCAAGTGGTATTCGAACCAGCGAGCTCCTGATCCATAAGCAGCAACTCTATTCACTGTACTATCAAAGCTGCCCCCACCTTATACATTTCTGATCAACTTCTTCCACTGTCTCAGATAACAACTCTTATGGTCTTGTATTTTTCCATCATTCATGCCTTCTGTTTTCTTTAGGAATTAAAATCTCAGGAGACGAATAATCATCAAAAAGAACAGATTTTAAAAGAAAGACTTCACATAGCCTTTGAGAAGTAAGTCAATTGCAGAATAAGATTAGCCTCGTAGGATCAATAGCAGATGTAATCATGGATAGAAATAAAATGCAGAATAATTATCCTTAGTTTATTGTTTCTAATTGTTAAAGTACTTTCTAGCGCTTTACTTTCTAAGTATTCATTAAAATAATGAGATCCTCAAGAAAGAAAACATTTGATAAAGAGAGATATATAACGTCTCTAAAATTGGAATATTATCAATATTATTTGTGGGTTGAGGTTTTAGTCTTTTTTTACAAACTAATTATTTTAATTGTGACTCTTAAAAATATACAATTAAAGTTTGAGTTACTGTTAATTGTTGCCCAGATTTCTGTACACTTAAGAATTAAATGGCAGGATAAAAAGATTCTTGGTGTATGTATTTGGTACAGGATGAAAAATGTACGTGGAATAAATTACCCTTCTTAAAATTGGCTTTTGTGGAGTCCTGTAGCTCAGTGGTTAGAGCACTCGCTTTGCAAGTGAGAGACCTGAGTTCAATTCCAGACAGGGCGAAACCTTGGGCAAGTTTCCTTACTCCACACGCTTAATAATAATCCCTCCAAAAACCAAAAACAATAATTAAATTGGTCATTTTCAATTTACGACTGTTTGTGGGACACTGCTGTGCGCAATTGGCTGCCGCGTTCGCCCACAAATATACAGTCAATTCCACTTTACATTGTGTTCTGTGAAGCGCTTTGGGACGTCCTCCCGACGTGAAAAGCGCTATATCAAATGCAAGGATTATTATTATTATTATTATTATTTATCTGTTCATTTATTTATTTGGTCAGCTGGGTGTCTAACACATGCAGAAAACCATCACTATGCTTAAGAGTTTCCAAACCGATAAATCCTGTGAAATGCTTTGAGATACCCTTCTAATGTGAAAGACACTACATTTCAGACTCAGATTTGTTGAGATGTGGAATGCTATGCCAAGTAAAGGGAGGCTTGAAGGGGTATGGGAATAATGCAAGGTCATGGATTGAATGAATACCTTACTCTGAGAGTTGGTGCAGAACGGCTACATGATTCTATGAGTATTTTTAATGTTTATTTTTTTAAAATAAAATGCACATTCACAATGCTCCGAAGCTTAAAGTCAAAAATTAATTGTACATTGAATGGTAACCATTTTCAAAGATGAAAACTGGAAGCATTCATTTATTATTTAACTATGTGTGGTGATTATGATTTGAAATCGGTATGCTGAAGTGCAGTTGGGGGTGAAAACTGTGAAGTGATATGCTAATTAACACTGGCACAAATTCTCATAACACTGTTAAATGCAATCAATGAAACTAGGGAAAACGCACACCACAAATCCGTCACAAAGCCTTGAAGCAACATTGGACCTACCGGGCCAACTAACAGTAAACTGGCTAACTCAATCACTGGGG